CATCATCATCATCATCATCATCATCATCATCCTCATCATCCTCATCATCCTCATCATCATCATCATCATAATCAGCATCATCATAATCATCATCAGCATCATCATCATCAGCATCATCATCATCATCATCATCATCAGCATCATCATCAGCATCATCATCAGCATCATCATCATCAGCATCAGCCGCAGCAACATCAGCATCATCATCATCATCATCACCATCGGCAGCATCATAATCATCAGCAGCAGCAGCCTCATCATCATCATCATCAGCAGCAGCAGCATCATCAGCATCAGCTTCAGCATAATCGCCATCATCATCCTCATAATCATCAGCGTCATCATCATCATCATCATCAGCAGCAGCAGCATCAACATCATCAGCAGCCGCATAATGATCATCATCATGAGATTCCTCATCATGAGTAGCAGCATTATCATCATCGTCCATCAGCATCATCAGCATCAGCATCATCATCAGCATCAGCAACATCATGATCATCATCAGCATAATCATCATCATCGGCATAAGCATCATCATCATCATCCTCATCAGCATCATGATCATCATAATCATCATCAGAAGCAGCAGCATCAGCATCAGCATCATCATCTGCATCATCGTCAGCATCATCGGCAGCATCATCAGCAGCATAATCATCATCAGCATCGTCATCATCATCATCATCATCAGCCTCATCATCATCAGCAGCATCATCATCATCAGCATCATCATCGGCATAATCATCATCTGCATCACCTGCATCATCATCAGCTGCATCAGCATCAGCATCAGCATCATCATCATCATCAGCAGCAGCATCATCAGCATCATCATCAGTATCATGACCATCATATTCAGCAGCAGCATCATCATCAGCATCAACATCATCATCATCAGCATCATCATCATCAGCAGCATCGTCATCACCATCATTGATAACAGAGAGAAACCATCAGAGTCTTTTCTATCTTACGTGAAATCAATTTGGAATTGATCCTTAGGCTTATGAAGTCTGCGAGGGCTACGAAGGCCATGAGGGCTATAGGACTATAGGGCTATAAGGCTATTGGACTATAGGGTTGTAGGGCTGTAGGGCTATAGGGCGATAGGGCTGTAGGGCTATAGGGCTATAGGGCTATAGGGCTGTAGGGCTATAGGGCTATAGGGCTGTAGGGCTATGGGGCTATAGGGCTACAGGCCTATAAGGCTATAGGGCTATAGGGCTATAGGGCTATAGGGCTATAAGGCTATAGGGCTATAGGGCAACCGTGCGATAGAGCACCCGGGCAACCGGGCACCCGGGCACCCCTGGGCACCCAGGCACCCGCAGGCACCCGTGGGCACCTCAGGGCACCCCCGGGCACCCGGGCACCGGGGCACCCCGGCCGGCCACCGAAATCGGCGAGCCACCTCACCTAACCACATGATACCGGAGACCGACCCCAATCAGAGTCTATTTCGATATGACATGACATCCCTTTGGAATTGCTCCTTAGGTTTATGAAGTCCACGAGGGCTACGAAGGCCATGAGGGCTGTAGGGCTATAGGGCTATCAGGCTATAGGGCTACTGGGCCGCAGGGCTATAGGGCTATAGGTCTATAGGGCCATAGGACTATAGGGCTACATGGGCTGTAGGGCTATAGGGCCATAGGACTATAGGGCTATAGGGCTGTAGGGCTATAGGGCTATAGGACTATAGGGCTGTAGGGCTGTAGGGCTATATGGCTATAGGGCTATAGGGCTATAGGGCTAGAGGGCTATAGGGCTATAGGGCTATAGGGCTATAGGGCGATAGAGCACCCCGGCACCCAGGCACCCTGGCGGGCCACCGAAGTCGGCGACGCACCTCACCTAACCATATGAATCCGATAGGACCCCTACAGATACTTGCTCCTTGGGTTTAAGACCATGAGGGCTGTAGGGCTACAGGGCTGTAAGGCTATAGGGCTGTAGGGCTGTAGGGCTATAGAACTATAGGGCTATAGGGCTATACAGCTATATGGGCTATGGGGCTATAGGGGTATAGGGCTATATGGGCTTTAGGGCTATAGGGCTATAGGGCCATAGGGCTATACGGCTATAATTAGGGCTATAGGGCTATAGGGCTATTGGGCTATAGGGCTGTATGGCTATATGGCTATTGGGCTACAGGGCTATAGGGCTATAAGGCTATAGTGCTATAGGGCGATAGAGCACCTGGGCAACTGCGCACCCAGGCACCCCCGGGCACCTCCAGGCACCCCAAAGCACCCAGGGCACTCATGGGCACCCAGGCACCCGGACACCCAGGCACCCAGACACCCAGGCATCCAGGCCGGCCACCGAAATCGGCCTAACCATATGAATCTTCTAGGAACCCTACAGAGGCAAACTCAAATTGGGGAATGAATCCGCGAGGACAACTACGCAGGCAAGCTCTGATTGGGGAATGAGCATCATCATCATCAACAACATCATTATCATCATCATTAGCATCAGCATCATCATCATCAATATCACCAACATCATCATCAGCATCATCATCATGAGCAGCAGCATCATCATCACCAACATCATTATCATCGGCATCATCATCAGCATCATCATTATCATCATCATCATCATAACCACCATCATCACCATCATCATCATCATCACCACCACCATCATCATCGTCATCATCATCATCATCATCACCACCACCACCACCATCATCATCATCATAATCATCATCATCATCATGATCATCTTCATCAGCATCCTCATCAGCATCATCATCAGCATCACCAACATCATCAGCATCATAATCAGCATCATCATCAACATCATCATCAGCATCATCCTCATCCTTATCCTCATCAGCATCAGCATCAGCATCAGCATCATCATCAGCATCAGCATCATCATCATCAGCATCAGCATCAGCATCATCATCATCATCACCACCACCACCATCATCATCATCATCAGCATCATCATTATCTCTCTTGCTGTAACCGTATTCCTCCCTCGCCTTCCCCCGTCTTCTCTCTCTCTCCCTCTCCCTCTCACCCTCGTCCTCCTCCTCTTCCTCCTCCTCCGTCCCCCCTTCCCCCTTCCTCGCCCTCCTGCCTCTATCTTCCTCCCCCCCACCCCTCATTCCGCCCCTGTCCGACGACGACGACGACAAAGACGAAGACGAACACGAACACGAAGGCGAAGACGACGACGACGTGCGTTCATTCGTTCATTCGTGACTCTGCTGAACCTGAGGTTTGTGGAAACCCGCATGCAGGAACCCGCATGCAGGCAAGGCGTGCTAGCCCAGATCAACAGTTCAAGTCGTCGATTCAGTCGAAACTCTTTGAGATCAGCCCACCGCTCTCGGTCCCCAGCCAAACTAAGCCAGCCGTCGCCCAAGACCTTAGAAAATTCGTGCTCGTGTCGCCGCGAAAACACGTTCCATGACATTGTTGGCCAAATGACTTTTCCACTTGTCGTGAATGTGCAATAACCCGGAGTCGGAAAACCTGCCAGGCGATCATCGATTGCGCGTCCTTACCAAAACGTGCCACATGCCCGGCCCAGGTACAATCTCTGCCTAAACATACTATGTCCCAGAGCTCCTACTTGTATTTCGCCCGCAGCGCGTTGAGCTTCTCATTGAGTACCCGACAGTGCGCCCCAGTGAAACGGTCATCCCACTTGAACAAGTTATGGTGCGTCCCAACTGGGGTGTTGAGCTTGGCCCTAGCACGTGTCGCATCATCTTGTTTCATGCTGCACGTATGCGCTAGAGGTGTCTCTGCGTAAGATGTCAGACTCCGATGTTGGAGACGAGAGCCCGCAAGATGAACTGAGATAGTGCTTCCAGATGCCGACGGGGAAAGCTTGCCCTTCAGGTCAGAAGCTGGAGGTGTTCCCGGCGTGTCATACGACGACGACGACGACGACGACGATGACGACGACGACGACAACGACGACGCCGACGACGCCGACGACGGCGGCGGCGGCGGCGGCGGCGACCGTGGCGAAGGCGACGGCGAAGGCGAGGGCGGCGCGAGTACGGCGGCCCCGCGCTCCGAGGTGGCGGCCGTCTGCAGAAGCGAGTAGCTCTGGGCGTCCGCCCCGGTGGTCGTCGAGACGAGGACCTTCTTGGCCTGGCCAGGGCCGCTCAAGAGACGGGAGGAGGAAAGAGGGGGAGGAGGGAGGGGGGAGGAGCAGTGTCGGGAGCGCCCAAGTGGATTTTCACCCCGGGACCGTTCCAGGGTGAAAATCCATCTGGGACCTCCCCCAGTGCAAAACGGCGCTCGCGGGGATAGGGGTGCGCCCGAGCCCCAAAAATGATGATGTTCCAACTGGAATCTCTTTTAGGGGGGGCCTTTTTCTCGCGGCTGGGCCATCCCGCCCGATTTCGGGAGGGGCCAGATGGATTTTCACCCTGGAACCGTTCCGGGGTGAAAATCCATCTGGGACCTCACCCCTGTGCAAAACGGCGCTCTCGGGAATGGGGGGGTGCACCCGAGCCCTCAAATTAGTCAGTTTCCAAATGAAATCTGGGGAGCCTTTGTCTCGCGGCTGGACCCTCCCGCCCAGTGTGGGTAGCGCCCAGATGGACTTTCACCCCGGGACCGTTCCAGGGTGAAAATCCATCTGGGACCTTCCCAAATCCAAAACGGCGCTCTCGGGGATGGGGGGGGGGTGCCCGAGCCCCAAAAAATGATCTCTAATAGGGTGGCATTTTTCTCGCGGTTCGGCCCTCTCGCCCGGTGCCGGGAGCGCTCAGATGGACTTTCACCCCAGAACCGTGCCAAGGTGAAAAGCCATCTGGGACCTCCCCCAATACAAAACGGCGGTCTCGGGAATAGGGGGGGGGGTGCACCCGAGCCCCAAACATTGCATTTTTCCAAATGAAATCTCCGATTGAAGAAATTTGTCTCGCGGCTGGGCGCTCCCGCTCAGTGTCGGGAGCGCCCAGATGGACTTTCACCCCAGGACCGTTCCAGGGTGAAAATCCATCTGGACCTCCCCCAGTGCAGAACGGCGCTCTCGGGGATAGGGGGGGGGTCACGCGAGCCCCAAAAATTACAATTCCAAATGAAATATCTGATCGGAAAGCCTTTTTCTCGCGGCTGGGCCCTCCCGCCAAGCGTCGGGAGCGCCCAGGTGGACTTTCATCCCGGAACCGTTCCAGGGTGAATATCCATATGGGACCCTTCCCAATGCAAAACGGCGCTCTCGCGCATGAGGGGCGGGCGTGCCCCAGTCCCCGAAATCGTAATTTTCCAAACGGGATCTTTTTGGGGGGAACCTTTTGCTTCGGCTGGGCCCCCCACTCAGTGTCGAGAGCGCCGAGATGGATGCTCAACCCGTCGGCGTTCCAGGGTGAAAATCCAAAGTTGGTTCCGTTCGTCGGTTGACTAGGGTCCGCTGTGGTTCGGGTTTGTTGCGCGGTCGGTTTGTCCAAGTACGCTGAGGTTCGAGTTTGTTGCGCGGTCGGTCGCTGAGGGTCCGCTGTGGTTCGAGTTTGTTCGTGGTTGATCGCTGAAGGCGGCGCGCTGTGGTCCGCGGTTCGAGTTTGTTGCGCGGTGCTTGGGGCCCGCTGCGGTTCGAGTTTGTTGCGTGGTCGGTTTGTCAAGGGTCCGCTGTAGTTCGAATTTGTTGCGCGGTCGGTCGCTGAGGGTCCGCTGTAGTTCCAGTTTGTTTTGCGGTTGATTACTGAGGGCCCACTGTGGTTCGAGTTTTGTTGCGCGGGCGTGTCCTCGTCCTCTTCCCCGCCATCGCCCTCGTCCTTGCCCTCGTCATCCTCCTCCTCCTCCTCCTCCTCCTCCTCCTCCTTCCCCTCCCCCTCCTCCTCCTCCTCCTCCTGCCCTCTTCCTCCTCCTCCTCTCCTCCTCCTCCTCCTCCTCCTCCTCCCCTCCCCCTCCCCCCTCCTCCTCCTCCTCCTCCTGCCCTCTTCCTCCTCCTCCTCCTCCTCCTCCGCCTCCTCCTCCTCCTACTCCTCGTCCTCCTCCCCTCCTCCTCCTCCTCCCTCCTCCTCCTCCTGCTCCTCCTCCTCCTCCCCTCCTCTCTTCCTACTCCTCCTCCTCCTCCTCCTCCGCCTCCTCATCATCATCACCATCAGCATCACCCCCGCCGTCATCATATTGGTCCCCATCCTGTTATGTATCCTCGTTTTCATGATCCTGTTCATCCTCCTCATCCCCCCACACAAACACACAAGCACGCACGCACGCACGAACGCACGCACACGCACACGCACACGCACACGCACACGCACACGCACACACACACACACAGAGAGAAACATCTTTGCGGCAGGAAAGGGGGTTCGTGTCATCGTTAACAGGGTCCTCGTCCTCCTTCTCCCCCTCCTCCTTTTCCTCCTCTTCCTCCTTCTCATCCTCTTCCCCGTCGTCCTTCTCCTCATCCTCCTCCTCCTCCTCCTCCTCCTCTCCCCCCTCCTCCTCCTCCTCCTCCTCCTCCTCCTCCTCCTCCTCCTCATCATCATCATCATCATCATCATCTTCCTCCTCCTCATCCTCCGCCTCCTCCGCCTCCTCCGTCTCCTCATCTTCATCCTCTGCTTCCTCGGCCCCGAGAGACCCTGGGAGGGGGAGGCCCAGAAGAGGCCCAGGAACGGCCACAACAAAGGGCCAGGAGGCAACAGACGGCCCAGAAGGACCCTGGAGTCCGCAGCACACCGCCCAGGAGGGGAAATTGGCAATGCACCCTTGGTTCGTCAGCGGGCCCGAGCCTCACGCCGATAAATGGGCGCACGTGCTCATCAGGCCCTGGTTCCGAGACAGAGACAACAGGTACAAGCTTACCCTCCAATTCAAACCAACTAAACAATCAAGATTCCAGCAGTGCATTGATCATCGTCACCATCTTCATGAGCAGCACCATCATCATCACCACCACCATCATAATCATCATCATCATCATCAGCATCATCATTATAATCACCATCATCATCAACAGCATCATTATCATCACCAACATTATCATGGTCATCACAGCCATCGTAATCATGACCATCACCATCATCATCACAAGCACCATCATCAGCAGCAGCAGCATCATCAGCATCAGCATCATCACGATCATCATCATCATCATCATCATCATCATCATCATCAGCAGCAGCAGCAGCATCACCAGAATCAGCATCATCAGCATCGCCGTCATCATCATCAGCAGCATCAGCATCATCAACACCGTCAGCATCATCCTCATCACCATCACCATCATCACCATGATCAGCAGCAGCATCATCAACACCATCATCACTACCATCAGCATCATCATAATCAACGATATCACCATCAGCATCATCATAATCACCGTCAGCATCGTCAGCATCATCAGCAGCATCATCATCATCAGAATCATCAGCAGCACCAGCATCGTCCTGGTTAGCATCACCCGCAGCATCAGCCTCCTCCGCCTCCTCCTCCTCCTCCTCCTCCTCCTCCTCCTCCCCCTCCTCCTCCTCCTTCTCCTGCTCAGTCCACCTCATCCTCAGTCCACCTCCGCCTCCTCCTCATCATCCTCCTCCTCCGCCTCCTCCTCCGCCTCCTCCTTCTTCTCTTCGTCCTTCTCCTCCTCCTCCTCCTCCTCCTCCTCCTCCTCCCCCATCCTTCTCATCCCCCCGCCCCTCTCTCCCCATGACCGACACAAGCAGGAACGCCTCGTGGACAAGGAGAGGTTTCCCGCCGAGTAAGCAGGGACGCCCGTGGACTGAGGTAAGGATAAGGATAATATCTCATTGGGGAGCCTTCTCCTCGCGGCTGGGCCCTCCCGCCCAGCGTCGGGAGCGCCCAGGTGGATTTTCACCCCGGAACCGTGCCAAGGTGAAAATCCATCTCGGACCTCCTCCAATGCAAAACGGCGCTCTTGGAGACGGGGGGGTGTACCCGAGCCCCGGAAATTGACATGTTCCAAATGAAATCTCTTATTGAGGGGCATTTTCCTCGCGGCTCCACCGAAGGTCCCAATGGCAGGGTTCGCATGCGATTCCACCCCCATGTCGGCACATCTCTCACACGTTTCGTGGTCCCGTAGGGAGCTCCACCGAAGACGATACTGACAACTGCGGCACTCACAACTACATATTATTAGGCCCTTCGCCAGGCTATTTTTGTGTGACGCTGCCGCTTGAAGCCTCACCGAAGTTCATGACCGCCAGTGTACACCTGCGCAACATGGGGGATCCCGCTGGATACCCCGTTGAATTGTATGATCCTTGTTCTTCGCGTGCCAGAATTGCGCGCCAAAAAGATGCAAAGGAAAACATGTTCAAAACAGGGCCCTCGTCAAAATGGCAGGTCCAATTGTGCTGGTCTTGCAAGGGGAGGATTTGTAGTGGCGTATAAGGAGAGGGCTTGGGAGCTGAGGGTGTATTGCAGCATCCCTTATGCATCTTTGGCCTACTCTGGTCCTTCATCCTCCTCCTCCTCCTCCTCCTCCTCCTCCTCCGCCTCCTCCTCCTCCTTCGCCACCTTCTCCGCCTCCTCCTCCTCCTCCTCCTCCTCCTCTTCCTCCTCCTCCTCCGCCCTCAGTCCTCCGCCGCCCCTCCGCCTCCTCCTCCTCCTCCTCCTCCTCCTCCTCCCCTCCTCCTCCTCCCCACCCTCCCCTCCTCCTCCTCCCCCTCCCTCCCTCCCTCCCTTCCTTCCTTCCTTCCCCTTCCCCCTTTCCACTCCCCTCCTCCCTCCTCCTCCTCCGCCTCCTCCTCCTCCTTCGCCACCACCTCCTCCTCCGCCTCCTCCTCCTCCTCCTCCTCCTCCTCCTCTTCCACCTCCTCCGCCCTCCGTCCTCCGCCCTCCGCCTCCTCCTCATCCTCATCATCCCCACCCTCCCCTCCTCCTCCTCCTCCTCCTCCCTCCCTCCCTCCCTCCCTCCTTCCTTCCTTCCTTCCACCCTTGCCATTCCCCTTCCCTCCTCCCTCCTCCGTCCTCCCTTCTCCCTCCTCCCTCCTTCCTCCTCCCTCCTCCCTCCTCCCTCCTACCTCCTCCTCCTCCCTCCTCCTCCCTCCCTCCTCGCTCCTCCCGCCTCCCTCCTCTCTACTCCTCCCCCCTCCTCCGTCCTCCTCTCCCCTCCTCCCTCCTTCATCCTTCTCCTCCCCCGACAAACGGAACAGGAGAAGGGGCGCCAGCGAAGAGGGGAAGCATAAAGGTGGAAGAGGAGACGGAGGAGGAGGTTGGCCAGGCCGACCCGCGCGGCGGTGGCTGCCGGCTGGGGGTGGGCCTCCGCAAGCGCCTTCAGCTCCTCACCGCGGCTTTTCTGCTCCGCCTCGGGGTGGGGGAGGAAGGGTGGCGACGTCGCGCCGTCAGGCAGGACGAGGACGAGGAGGGAGGGAGGGAGAAGGAGAAGAGGGAGACAGAAGAGAGGAGGGCCAGGCCGTAAAGAGAGCTGGCCCGGGCACTGGCTCAGGCGGGACCCAGGACCTTAATGCCAATGGCCGGGCGTCCCCATGCCTCTTCGGCCCAAGATGGCCTCAGGAGCGCATGAGAATGCTGGAAGACGGCCAGTTTTCGCACTCAGTGTAAAACCACAGTATTTCCATCCCCCCTCTCTCCAACTCTCTCTCTCTCTCTCTCGAAATGCTCTCTCTCTCTCTCTCTCTATCTTGCTCTCCCTGGTGTCTGTCTACGTGCATCGCGCAATACCCAGTGTGTCTAAAGCAGTTTACGTTCCGCGCTGCGGCCATTGAGCACCTCGGTTGGCCAGTTTTTCGCTGTGCCGCTCGGATGTGTGAGCTCACGCCCCTCCCAGTTCAGCAACGGGCTGACATCGAGCGAGTTGGCCGAGCTCGTAAGCTGTCTGTTTGTATGATCATCCCGACATGTGACACCTGAGGTGTGGCTGGTCATCTTTCACCCTATCACTTTCATCATCCCAACCGCCGTGCTCTACGGTTGTCAAAGTATACAAAGATGTAAACATGTGTATACACATGTCACCTGTATAAATATAACACATATATATACACATATATGTATATATACATACATATAACATACATACATACATATGCACATATACATACGCAATTACATACGCACAGACACACGCACACGTACCTACATAAATACACACATAGGTAGTGTACATCTGCGTATACACATGTTATATGTCTATGTTTAAATAATAACAAGCAGTTTGTAATTAAGGGTTATTAGTTCTCTTCTGCGCCCCGTCGCCGCCTCGTCCCCGCCCGTCGTCTGCTTCCGTCTGTCGGTCTGCCGGCTATGTTGCCACCGTCGCCGCCCGCTCGCCGCCTCGTCGCCGCCCCCATCGCCGCCCGCTCGCCGCCTCGTCGCCGCCCCCTCGCCGCCCGTCGCCACCTCGTCGCCGCCCCCTCGCCGCCCTGATTAGAAGACATGGCTCGTACCACCCAGATTGCACCGCATACATCGCACAACATCAACTTTTCTTTGGTCAGAATTATGAAGACACGCACAAGAACAAAAAAAATGACGCCCCCCCCCCCGCCATGGAGATGGTGGTTCACAGACAACTCTTCCCACACTTTTGGTATGCGGGGCGAGAGCGAACCTCTTCCGGTTAAAAACAACTCTTCCCACACGCCGATTCGAATTATGAACTCATACCGTCCCAGCCAGGCCAGTACCGACCACCACCCCCACGATCCTCTGCCAAAAAACTATGCACGAACGCTCGTTGATAACAAATCAAAAAGTTGTCGCGGATCGTTTGCGCAAGCGTGACGAAAGGCACACACGCGCGCGTCGTCGCGCGCGCATGCACAAATTCTTCACAAACCCCTGGTGTCGTAAGGATGTCAAAATCGAGTGCCCTGACCACATACGAAGACATCAGGTTCTGCAACGTCCGTTTTCGAAAAGCTCTGCGCGCTTTTTTCCGAATACGACTTCCAACATGTTCATCGGAATCCAACAAAAAAAAAACCTTTCGCGCGCGCGCGTGTCGATATCACTCGAACGCCCATGCGCGCGTGCGAGGGGGGGCAAGACCCGTCAAATAGCATCATGAGGACCACTCGCGCGCGTCGGCCGCGCGCGCATGTCGAACACCTTCCAAAACTTTCATCACCGACGCGAGGACGACATCATCGTCATCGGCGTGATCAGCATCGGCGGCATCATTGGCCTCGCCGTCTTTACCGTCATCATCGCCACCATTATCGCTATTAGCATCATAGCGTCTACCGTTGTCGACGTCGCCATGATATCGCGCCTGCCCAAATCAACAACTCGCACTGAAATGCCCGCGCGTCACCGCGGCCTGCGAGACGCGCCAGGAAGTGCCCAGCGGCCAGCGCCACCGCGGCCGCCTCGGCCGCGCCCAACTAGCCGGCCGCTGTGCGCGCGAGCATGCGCGGGCTAGCGCGTCCGCAGAGATGTTCCAGCCAGCATCAAACACTCATCGCCATCGCCGCCGCATGAGTTTGGCAAACAAAGTTGCAAACAGGCGGTTGGGATAATCTCGCGATCAGTGGAACTGACAACTCCAACTTTTTTCAAAAATACGTGCGCACATAGAGTTCACGACATAAGACGAATAACATAGCTTGCACCGCATCGATTGCACTACACACATCCCACCACATATATTGCGCACCACATAGGTGGCACAACAGGGGACGCACCAAACAGATTGCACCGCATACATTGCACCGCATAGATTGCACCACCTATGTTGCGACAGATGTATTGTTCAATGCAAAAAATTGTACCATCTATATTGCACCACACAGATCTCAAAGTGAATGTACAACCTGGGTCGAACAGGATAGACTGCACAACCTAGATTGCGCAACATATAATGCACCACCTAGATGGCACCGCATAGATCGGACCGCCTGTGATGCACCACATAGACTGGAACACATAGATTGTACGGCACAGCTTGCACCATACATATACATATATATACACACAGATATACATACATACATCTATACATACATACATACATACATACATACATACATACATACACACACACACACATACATACATACATACATACATAGATACATACATACATACATACATACATACATACATACATGCATGCATGCATGCATGCATACATACATACATACATACATACATACATACATACATACATGTATATATATATAGCTATATATATAGATATATTGAGTACCACCTAGATGGCACACCATGGATCGCACGACATGGGTTGCACAACCTAGAGTGCACAACCTAGACCGCACCACATAGTTTGCACCACAGAGATTGCACCTCATAGTCTGCAGCACATAGATTGCATCACATACATGGCACCACGTAGATGACACAACAGATATGTTGGGGACCACGCTGGCGAACGTAAATGCGCCACCGCACCGCAGTCCTATAGCGCGCCCTCCCTCCACGACAAGGTGCCAGCCGCATTGGACTCAGCGCCGATGCATGCGTTGCACTCATGAGACTGGAGCGAGACCAAGATCGCGTCGCCTTCGGCATCGATGTGAATGCTGGCGGTGGACAGGCCCTGCGACTCGCAGTGCGAAGCCCTGGCGTTGTCGGTTCGCCCAGCGCAATCGACCACAAAGGAACTCGTGGCGGCGACAGTCAGCGTCGCGCCCGCATCGACGCAAAGACAGCACCCACCTCCACCCCCAATGCGGCATTGGAACACGATCTGAGTGGCAGGTGCCGCGGGCGCGGCCAGTGTCCAGGCGCAACTAGGACCCGCTTCGGAATGAGGCGCCACGCCTTGCGCTAACGACTCCGACCCCACCACAGCAGGGACGCGCCCTTGCTGGTTCCCCCTTCCCTACCCGCTCCAAGCGCCACTAATTGCGCGCGACGCGGAAGGCTCGTTACTTGGCACCGACGCCCACCAGCGATTTCAACCGCAAACGCAACGATCGCTGACTCCTCCAAAGCTGCACGTGGAGAACGTGTCCTCAGGTCCTGGGCCCAATCCTCTAAGCCTCAATCCCCACTCTTGAGGAATCTTCACACGACCCACACATCCATTTCCGAAAATCTCCGGGTTTCCCTCGCACCCCCGGGAGGGCCCCAACATCTTGTCGCATGACTTGTTCGACACCAGGAGGGTCCCGAGACGGACCGAGAGGGCCCGTGGAGGCCCCCGAAAACAATCCAAGAAGGCCCCGAGTCGGGTCGACGTCGCAATCCTGGAAATTCCGGACCCATCACGGGAAAGCGCAAAACGAAAAACGCAAGCCCCAACCCTGGACAGGGAAAACCCCAACCCTGGCAATGGCGCCCGCAGCCCAACTCAGGAAACCTGGCCCAGATACTGAAAAGGGCAGCTCACGGCAGCTACGCGGCCCCGCTGACGCCACGGCAGCTGACGGCAGCTCTGCGGGACCCGCTGACGCCGCTGAGCACGGTGTTGCGTGCGTGCGTGCGTGCGCGAATGCGTGCACCGTGCGCGCGTGCATGGGCGCGCGCGCGTGCGCGCGGGTGCGCGCACACGCGCGAACACCGTGCACGACGACGTCCAGCAGCAAGCACTGAGTTACAGTGGGGGCCCGACCACAAGAAACCTTCCACAAGAAGCCCAACCCTGAGACCCCAGGGCGTCCATCGATGTCTGGCGTGGGAACGTCACGCTTTCCATGGCAAAACCATCGAAACCCAAGAAACCAAGGGCACCCTGGAGGCAAGCTGGGCGTTTCTTGGCATGGGCATCCACTGTACGCTGTAGAGCGCTGGGCGGATGAGACAGTGGCCAGCGGCCTGACCAGCGGCCTGGCCAACAGCCAGGTGCGGACGCAACCCTGCCGACTTGGAGGGCAGCCGCAAGCCTCAGGCCAGCGGCCGAAAAGAAAACAAAACGTCGCGCGTGTGAATGTGCGTGTGCGCGTGCGTGCGCGCGTGCGTGCGCGCGTGCGTGGGCGCGCGCGTGTGCACGTGCGTGCGCGCGTGTGCGTGCGCGTGCGCGTGCGCGTGCGTGCGCGTGCGCGAGTGCGTGTGCGCGTGCGCGTGCAAGTACAAGTGCGCGTGCAAATGCGTGCGCAAGTGCGTGTGCGTTTGAGTGCGCGCGTGCGTGTGCGTGTACGCGCGCGCGTGCGAGTGCTATTGCGCGTGCGTGAGCTTGTGCGTGTCTGCGCGTGCGCGTGTAAGCGTGCGTGCGCGCGTGCGCGCGCGTGTGCGCGTGCGCGCGCGCGTGCGTGAACGCGCGCGCGGGCGCGCGGGCGCGTGCGCGTGTGCCTGAGCGCGCCCGAGTGTGCGAGCGCGCGCGTGTGCGCCTGGCATAAGCGTGCGTGTGCGCGTGCGCCTGCGTGCGCTCGTGCGTGCGCGCGCGCGTGTGCTGGCGCGCGCGCGCGGGCGTGCGCGCGTGCGTGCGCGTGTTCCTGCGCGCGTGCGCGTGCGAGTGCGCGCGCGTGGGTGCGCGTGCGCGTGTGGGCGTGCGCGCGCATGTGCAAGAGCGCGTGCGCGCGCGCGTGCGTGCGCGCGTGCGCGTGCGCATGCGCGCGCGCATTCGCGTGCGCATGCACGCGTGCGCGCGTGCGCGCGTGCGTGCGTGCGTGCGCGCGCGCGTTTGCGTGCGCGCGTGCGCTTCTTGTCGCCGCGCGCGGGTACTCAGATAGCTCCGCCCCTGGGTTCACGTGTTCGCGTCGGCTTGCCGCCCTTCATCGGGCGCGGCCGGGCATCCGGCCTCGGCGCTCTCTCTTGGCGGGGCGCCCCCCATGCCCTCGGTGCTGCTGCGCTCCTGGGCAGCCCCTCCTCGCCTGGTCTCGGCGCCCCCCTCCATAGCCGACGTCGGGGCCCCCCGCATCGGCGCGGGCCCTGTTCCGCGCGGTCGGCGCCAGGGCTCGGCCGCTGGGTTGGGCACCGCGCCCTCCGATGTCATGTTCCGCCTGGCTCTGGGCTTGCGCCGCTCCGCACTGACTCTTCGCGCCCGCAGCGCCGCGCTCGCTTCCGAGGTTGCCCCGTGGCCCCAACTTGCCCTGCTCAGCTCAACACACGCCTCGAAACCCCTCGGTCTCGGTGCGTGAACTGCTCTCTGGGCCGCACCTGGCGGTTCGCCGGGCCGAGCTGGCGCCCCCGCTGCCGCTCGATTGCCGCTCGGTCAGCTGGGCCGCGCGTTCCCCCAGCTTCTGCCATGCAGCTCTGCGCTGCCCAGCTCAGCTCGGCGCACCTCAGCGCGCTGGCCCCCCTCCCCCGGCGCCCCCATGCACGCGCCTCATCGGCCCATTGATCTCGACGCTCGGCCCATCCTTGGACCGCGCCTTGGGCCGGGTCGGGGTTCGCTTCGCTGCATGTCTCCTTCACCAATGGCAGCACAGCGCTGCCCCCCCCCCCGGCAGCAGCTGAGCTCAGATCAGCGCAACTCATTGCCACGCAGTGCCCGCGCTGGTCTCCCACCTCGGCGCTCCCCCCGCCGAAGTCGGCAGCTCTGAGCGGCCTGGGTTCTCTCCCCCTGTCGCGCCAGGGCCCCTCCTCCTCCTCCTCCGTGAATTGCGGCCGTAATTTGCATACAGCGTGTCCCCTGCTGCCACTCCGCCGGAGCAGTCACCCTCTGCCCAGCCGGCAACGCAAAAAGCGTGTGCGTGCGCACGTGCGCGCGCGTGGGCGCGCGTGTGCGCGCGCGTGTGCGCGTGCGTCTGCGTCTGCGTGTGCGCGTGCGTGTGCCTGTGCATCTGCGTGTTGTTTGAGTGTGCGCACGCTTGTGCGAGTGCGTGCGCGCGCGCGTGCATGTGCGTGTGCGTGCGCGAGTACGCGTGCGCGGGCGTGCGTGTGCGCGTGCATGCGCGCGCGCGCGTGCGTGTGCTACTGCGTGTGCGTTAGCTTGTGCGTGTCTGCGCGTGCGCGTGTGCGCGAGCGCGCGCGCGCGCGTGCGTGTGCGCGCGCGTGTGCGCGTGCGTGTGCGTGCGCGCGTGCGCGTGCGTGTGCGTGCGCGCGTGCGCGTGCGTGTGCGCGTACGTGCATCTGTGCGTGTGCGCGCGCGTGTGCGTGCACGCGTGCGTGCGCGTGTACGCGCGCGTGCGTATGCGTCTGCACGCGCGTGCTCCTGTGTGTGCCAGTGCGTGTGCGCGTGCGTGTGCGCGTGCGTGTGCGCGCGCGTGTACGCGTGAATGCGTGCGCGCGCGTGCGCGCGCATGTGCATGTGCGTGTGCGCGCGCGTGCGCGTGTGCGTGCGCGTTCGCGTGCGTGTGCGTGTGCGTGTGCGTATGTAGGCGTGGGCGCGGGCGCGCGCGTGTGCGCGTGCGCGTGCGTGAGTGTGCGCGTATGCGTGCGAACGTGCGCGTGCGTGCGCACTTGCGCGTGTGCGCTTCCGTGTTCGTGTGCGCGCGCATGTGCGTGTGCGTGTGCATGTGTGTGTGTGCGTGCGCGCGTGCGTGTGCGAGTGCACGTGCGTGCACGCGTGCGCGTGCGCGTGCGTGCGCGTGTGCGTGTGCGCGTGCGTGCGCAAATGCGTGCGCGTGTGCGCGTCCGTGTGTGCGCGTGTGTGTGTGTGCGCGTGCGCGGGCGTGTGCGTGTGCGTGTGCGAGTGCGTGTGCGCGTTTGCGTGCGTGTGTGTATGTGTGTGTGCGCGCGCGCGTGCGAGTGCGTGCGCGTGCGCACGTGCGTGTGCGTGTGCGTGTGCGTGTGCGTACGCGTGCGCGTGTGCGTGTGCGTGTGAGGTGGTTATGTGTAGTGGTTGTGTGCGTGTGCGTGTGCGCGTGCGTGTGCGTGTGCGTGTAAGTGTGTGAGAGTGCGTGAGTATTCGTGCGTGCGTGTGGTTATGTGTATGTGTATGCGTACATGTTAAGCTGTGTACGTACGCACGTGCGTACGCACGTATGTGTGCATGTATGTATGCATGTATGCCTGCATGCATGCATTCACGTGTGTGTGTGTGCATACGAGCGTACGTGTGTGCATGTATATGTATGTGTATGTGTGTATGTGTGTATGGATGTATGCATGGATGGATGGATGTATGTCTGGTTGTATGTATGTACGTGCGTACGTATGTATGTGTGCATGCATGTATGCGAATATATGTATTTATACATATATATATATGAATATATGAATGGGTTAATGAATGAATGAACGAACGTATGTATGTGTGTGAACATGCATGTGTGTATGTATGAATGCATGAATGGATGAATGTATGCAGACATGCATCTACGTATGTAACTGTATGTGTATGTGTGTATGTGTATGTGTATATGTATGGGTGTGGCTGTACGTAAGTATGTGAGTATGTATGTATGCATGTATGTATGTACGAATTGATAAATGAATGGTTGTGTTGATGTATTTGTGTGTGCATGCATGTATATGTGTGTTGATGTGTAGGTTGGTAGGTGTGTAGGTCGGTGAGTACGTTTATACATGGGTATGTGTGTACGAATTTGTGTATGTATGTATGTGTGTAGATGAGTATTACGGATGGATGTATGTATGTGTGTATGGATGGATGGATGGATGAATGGATGAATGGATGGATGTGTGTCTCGCTGTACAAATATGTATATGTGTCACGTCACCATTCTAATCATGGTCGGCATCCCCCACCCACTCCTCGCCCTCGTCCTCAAAATAGTCCGCTTCATCCTCGTCGTCGTCATCCCAGACATCATTACACATCCTCAGCCTCACCCTCGTCCTCCTCCTCATCATCGTCAACATCATCATAATCAGCATCAGCATCAGCATCAGTATCATCAGCAGCATCATGATCATCATCATCTCCATCACCATGATCAGCCTAAACATCATCATTATCATCGTCATCTTCAACGCCCGCATCATACTCATCATCCTCCATCGCCTTCCTCGGACATGTTCAGATGTATCGACCAACTTGGTCGCCTTGGTCACCATGGTCATCAGAACCGACCAGGCCATCGTCACCATCGACGTTAATACAGCGTTGCAACATAAGGAAAAAGTGGCACGACAACCCGCATTACCCCCAATGTGTAACCAAAATTGTGAATTACCGTTGCTAGGACTCCTACTGAATTCTCGGATCAACACCACACCACTCCCAAAAAGAAGGAATACTGCAAAGTCGCACGTGACACCCAAAGGCTATCAACACTGCGAGGAACGCCACTGGGAGAATTGGAACAATAACACGACTGACCGTATCAGAAACAAACTGACTGACATCAGAACTGGTATCGGCCTCGAAGGTCTCTGCCTTCTCCATGCAGTTCGCGTGCAAGGTTGCCTGAGGCGAGGCCAAAAGTATTGCCGGCATGTTAATCGTGCTCCACTCGCAGTGTTTGCCAGCCGCTCCTGCACATGCAGACTGTCCTTGTTCCCTGCATCCCTCAGTCCCCAGCTCTCCTCTTGTCGCCTGCGACATGCACTCCTCAGTCATTATACGCCTCCACTTTGCCCAACTTCTTCCGCAATTTGCTTCATACTTTGACTCACGCGACGACTGGAAACACGAAAAGACCCCTACCCGCAGCGATCCCAAACATCCCGCTCTCTGGAGGATCAGGGTGAGAAAAGAGAGATGAGAGAGATGAGAGATAGGAGAGAGGAGAGATGAGAGATGACAGATAGGAGACAGGAGGAAGAGGAGAAAGGAGAGGAGAGGAGAATGAGGAGATGAGAGGAGAGAGGAGAGGAGAGGAGAAAGGAGAGGCGAATGAGAGGGGAAGAGAGGAGAGATGAGAGATAGGAGACAGGAGGAAGAGGGCGGAGGAAGTGGCAGACGGAAGGAGGAGCAGGACGAGGACGGGGAACGAGGAAGAGGGACGAGGAGGAGGAGGAGGGAGGAGGGGGGAGGAGGAGGACGAAGAAGCAGGAGGCAGGAGGGACAGGTGGGACGACTAGGATAAGGGAGAGAGGAGGAAGGACAAGCTACGCGCACGCGCCCTATCTAACATCCTAACCCCTCCTACCCATCTCATTGCGCTGAATTGTTAGCCGTCTGCTGACAGGTGACCTGGTAGACGTGGATCCCAAAAATGGCCCCCATCGTCGTGTGATGCGCAATCAGAAGGGGGAGCTGAGCACGCTGGCGGAGGAGGAAGTGGCGGACGAGCAGAAGGAAGAGGAGGAAGGAGCAGCAGGAGCAGCAGTAGCGGGAGCAGGAGTAAGAGGGGCGGGAGGGGCAGATGCCACGGCGGTGGAGAGGAAAGGAGAGCGCGACAACAGCGAGGAGGGAATCGGGTTCGGAGACGAGGCCGCGCTGGGGCGAGAACGCCCCTCTGATAGACGGGAGCAAAGCGTCGATCCTGAAATGCGGCCAAGGTTGCAACGAGAGCACCACTATGGGAAAGAAACAAACAATATTAGGGCGACGAAATCTATACATATCCACTGCTCCCTGGCGAGGCCCATCCTGAACCCAGCAGCTGTGTATACGCTGCGCCCTCCTGGCGTGGCCAGGAGGGCGTATGCACAACTCCTGGGTTCAGGATGGGCTTGGCCAGGGAGCAGTGGATATGTATAGATTTCGTCGCCCGAAAGATGGAAAAACAGCAGTGTGCGAAACCCGACGCGTAAGGTGAAGGACAGTATGCGCGCGGGATCCACGATGCATTGCAGAGGAGGAAGACATGTTTTTGTTTCTGGACGTTTGCGAGTAGGCACTTTGCGAGTATCGGGAAGGGCCAAGAGGGGGGTGTCCAAGAGGGGGGGGTGCAAATCATGACCTGCGGCATGTGCGCGGCCCCGCGGGGGGGGGGGGCAGGGAAGTAATGAAATAGGAAGAGGCGTCATGAGATCTGGGGAAATATCATGGCCCCCGCCATGATATCCACCCGCCCCCTAGTCATCACCCCTCTTTGCCGCCCCCGCGAGTAGCGGAACGCGCTCGGTGAGGAAGGAAGACAGCTCTGAGCTCTGAGCCCCGGCCGCTCGAGGCCGCCGGGGGGCCTTGGTCTCCTCGTCGCTGGCAAGGTCCTGGCGGCGCGGCAAGAGGGAGGCAGCTTCTGCCTCTGGGGCGGGCGTGGAAGCCACACCGGCGCTCCGCGTAGGCTTAGGTCGGGCACGTCCCTCTACAGGGGGGTTTTTGGCGAAAAGTTAAAAATAGTCAGAAAATACCCCAAAACTGTCACAAATGATATTCAAACAAAAGAAAACACACAAGAAAGGAAAACGTCCCCAGACTATATTTGTTTCAACTATTTCTGAACACTCCTCCTGTAGAGGGACAGGCCCGACGTAAGCCTCACGAAGGCGGCGGGGCTCCGTGCGGGGTTCCATGATTCTGGACTCCACGGGCAGACTTCGGGCCTTCGAGGGCCTTCGAACACATCGCGAATCGAATGTCCAACGACCAGATCCGCGCCCTCCGACGGAGCGGACCCCGAGCAGAAGCGCACGGGAGCGCCAGGGGGGGGGGGGGGCGACTCCGCCGCACCCCCACAGGGGGGAGCTCCTGTGGGACCCCTCCCCCTCGCCTCCACGAACCCCTCGAAGGTCACCCCCCCCCCCTCCCGCTGGTGCCCGGCAAGGCCATCAGACTCGGCGCCCCACTTCCCGGGGAAAGTATCCAGGCTGCCCTGGCCCCTGGCGGCAGAGGGTCGCGAGAGACGCGCTGCGCGACCGGCTCTCGCAGCGGAGCCCGTGTCAAGGCCTCAGCGCTGCGCGCCAGGGCGCGGCCGCCCTGATGCCCAGAGGGAAACTCGCTCGTGGAGGGCCACACCCGTTCCTCGAACAGGGGATCAACAACGGAATTGATTTACTCAAAAATTGGTCTCCCGGCCGAATATACAGGAAGCATGTAGAACGTTCACAGATCTACGGGACATGCGGTAAGTATTTGATCGTAGATTCGGCGGGAAAATCAATTTTGGGGTAAATCCATTATGTAGTCGATCCCCTACTCGAGTTCCTGTCGCATCGTTGCGCCCATGTTCCCTGGCCGAGAGCTGTGCCCGTGACCACTCCTCGGCGCGCTGGCCGCGCTACTGGCCCAGAAATTCCACACACTGGCGCCCTGCGTCGATCACGCTATGAAGCCAGACTCGAGCGCTCGCTCTGGTATCAGCCACGCTTCCACCTCCAACTGGTGCACTCGACCTGGCGCAAGCGGCTCTCAAAGACCTGAGCACATCATCCTTGTCAGAATCAGGGCCTCACCGTTCAGCCGTGGCTCAGCCCGACGTCCCCCTTGCCGAACCGGCCCTCAGTCTGCCACATGGAAACCCAGCACAAGTCTCATGTCGGGGTGCCGATCCTTGAGGAGAGGATGGAGGAGGCGGCGGCGACGACGACGAGAAAGAGGACGACGACGACGGCGGCGGCGGCGACGACGACGACGACGACGACGACGACGACGACGACGGCGGCGGCGACGACGACGACGACGACGACGACGACGACGGCGGCGGCGACGACGACGACAACGACGGCGGCGCCGGCGACGGCGACGGCGGCGGCGGCGGCGGCGTCGGCGACGACGATGACGACAGCGACGACGACGAACACGCGACAGCGGCCTCCAGGGGAGGACGGGAAGGAGGACGAGGAGGCCGCGCGCCATCGAGGCAGCCACGGCGAGTGCCAACAACCAAGGCGATGCCACCCCGCCGGAGTCCACACCGCAACTCCGCCCAACCACCAAGCCAGGCCCCCTGGATGAGTGGAGCGGGTGGGCCCCCAGCCGCCGCCCCCAGACGTTGCGCGACCGCCGCGCACACTCGAGTTGGCTGCGGAGCGCATGGCAGAGGCGCAACGTGTCACTGGCGCGCAGGCAGTGGCGCGGCTCTGTCGCTCCGCTCGTCCAGCGCCCGCCCCGTCCAGCACGAGTACTCCCCCCCCCAGTTTCTAGACTCTAGGCTCTAGGGACGATGCTAGGCCCACGCCTCGGCCGCGCACCTCAGGAGCCGATGCCTCCACCTCCTCTGGGCACGGCAGGCTCCCGGACCCCCTCGCCCCCCTGGACGCCGCGTGGACTCTCGCAGGAGCTCCTGCCCGAAGCGCGCAGCTCCACGCAGGGTTGCCCCGGCTGATTCAGCCCAGCCCCCAGCTGGTAGGGAGGCTCCGCCAGCATCGAATGGGGAGTTCGGCTCGAATCGGCGTGGGCGCCAGGGGGGCGCGCCGCCTCGGCACAGCCGACATCGAGCCGCACCGCCCGTGCGCGCATCGGGCCCCATCGGCTCGTGGGGAGATCGGCATCGCGTCGGCTCGGGCCGGCCAAAATCGGTACCGAAGCCGATCGATCGCTCAAAAAGGGGCCCTGCAGGATCTGCGCGGCCCCGCGTGGCCACCGAGCCCGACCGCAGCGCCAGGCGCGCCTCCCCCCCCCCACCGCGCCCCGCGGGTCCGCCGAGGTAGCCGCCAGGTCGCCCTCGGCCTCCGCCTTCGAGCTGCCGCTGGCCGCCATGCCCTTCTTCGCCTCCGGGGGGGGGGGGGCCGGGGAGCCAGCCGGCGCGACGGCCCCGTCCGACTTCGCGCCAAAGAGCTCGGCCTCCCTTCCCCGACCTCCCCCAAAGAACGCCGCTTCCCGTCCCGTCCCTCCCTCCTCCACCCCGCCCTTCCATCATCACTCCCTTTTCCCCCCTCCCGCACCCTTTCTCTTGCTCACCCGGGCCTGCTTTTTGCTCATCTGGGCATGCCCCCGCTGTGGCATTCGAACTTGCTCGCGCGTCCTGATCATGTTGATCCCCGTCGCTCTGCCCTCCCGCTCACATCCGCCGTCGGCCCCATCGCCCTCGCCTGCCGTCCCCCCAGTCCACCACCCACCCACCCAGCTCTCTAGGCTGCCTCCTCGGCCGCGCTACCGATCGCCCCCAGCCTCGCCCTGAATCTGCTGGTATTTTCGTCCTCTCGCGGGCGGTGACTTCCGAACGCAAGATTGCCGCAAACCGCCCCAAGATTGCGTCCGCTGCGCGGCAGGATGGCCCAGGATGGCTTCCTGGACGACTGCAAGACGTCCAAAGAACGCCTTGGGAATGCTCTGAAGTGGCCCTGGCATCTCCCACATAGGCCCCCACGAGGGCAAAACCGCAGAAATGGGCCCAGCGCGACAACGATCACGGGTATACTGTCTTCTTGATGAACCCACACACGCACTACGTAGAACCACACGAAGCAAAGCATGGCAATGCCGTGCGAGTCATAGCACCGCCGAGCCCTGAGCTCCGCAACGAGGAGCTGGCAGAGGTCAGGACAGCAGCACAAAGCAGCGCAGCAAGCCAACGTGTGTATAATGAAGCGAGGCAAGATGAGGGCGAGGACGAAGAAACAACTTATGGCGGCAAGACGGCCACGCGATCCTCGCCACCCGGCTGGCTGTCCAGCTGGGCGGCACCCGCACTGACGCTCCAGGCTGTAGCCCCCGGGCGTTTCTCTGGAACGCAAGGCGGACTCCAGGCCTTTCCCCGCGGGCCAAAAGAAGAGAAGGCCAAGCCTGGGCGGACGGGCACCCAGCTCACCAAGGGCTCCTCGGGCCAGTGGCTACGGAGCCAAACCGAAGGCCCACCAGCGTGCCCCAGCTTCTGCTTCACCTGCAGTCCAACAGAGAAACGGACTGTATAAGCCAAGCCAACGCGCGTGAACGAGAGTGAAGACGAGACGAAGACCAGAGGGAGGGGGTCAAGAGGAGGAAGATGACGAGGAGCACACAACTTTTTGTGCCCAGACGGCCACGCTCTCCTCGCAGCCAGGCTGGCTGTCCACATGGGCGGCAACCACACTGATGCCCCGGGCCGTAGCCCTGGGCCGCTGCTCTCGAGCAGGGCGGCCTCCAAGGCACCCACCGCGAATCCCGCCCGCCTCGAAAGCCAATGTGCCGCCTCGGAGGCCAACGTGCCAGATCCGGCCCCACTCCATGAACAACCCCTGCAAGCAAACGAGAGGCGAGGGCGGTCCCGCCCACGCGATCGCGGCAGCGCCAGGCCCACAGGAGCCCCGGGGAGGCCCCAGCGGCAAACCCGCCTGCCTCCCCAGGAGGGCGCACAAAGCAGCCGGCGAGGACGGAAAAATGAAATGCCATGGCTCCAGCGGCTGGAGCCGAAGACGACGCCCCCGGCAGGTGGCCGCGGGCGCGCCAGGCCCAACGATCGCCGAAGAGGTGGGCTGGACAGCAGGAGCCCACTCCCCGGGTCCGCCCCCCAAACCGCGCCCCCTCCAAGGGAGCATCGGGCGACGCGGCCACGCGAGGGGGGGACGCCGCACGGTGGCGCAGGCCGCCAGGCCCAAGCCGCACCCAGAGCAGCAACGACCCACCACTTGGGCTCCCACAGAACAGGCTGGCACCCCGAGCGACACCAGCGCGCGCTCAAACCCGCGGAAATCCAGCTGGGCGGCCACGGCAGCCGCGGCGAGCAGGCCAGCCCTGCAGCATGCCGAGCAGGGAACCACTGCGCGGGCCGCCGCGCCCCGCACGGGGTCGGCTGGGGCGCCGCAAAGAAATGACCGCCGCAGGGGCCCGCCGAGGAAAAAACGCCTGCGCGGGCCGCCGCGCCCCGCACGGGGTCGGCCGAAACGCTGAAATTCACTGCCACCCATGGGAGGAGCAGCCCAGCCCGCGGGCGAAAAAAAGGCCGCGCCGACGGTCCAGGCCCGTCGGAAGAGAGGACACCTGGGGGGGGGAAACACAACAACAACAACAACAACAACAACAACAACAATCACTTTACCCGAACGCTCAGTGTTCTCACCAGTGCCAGGGTTTTCATGCGACGCCAGCCAATACCCCCACTTTGTGGGGGGGCAGTGCAAGCTCTACCAAATATCCACACGACTCTTCGCCACCACCCACACCCAGCTTCCCGCCCTATGACGTTCGGACACTTCACTTCGTGGCCTGCGGACGACCGTGGCTACTACACTGGCGTGGAGTACACACCCACAGAAGTTGTTAAGCCTACGTTCGTACACCCACAGAAGTTGTTAAGCCTTGTTAACCCACAGAAGTTGTTAAGCCTTCCACAGAACATCTGTTGCATATGATGCATATGGTACATGATACACATGATACACATGATACGTACTCACAAGATAGTTGATCACATCTTTAGGGCAAATTCCTGAGGGATGTGGGAATACACAAGAGAGAAAGGACATGGTTGTCCCGATGGTTGTCTCGATGGTTGTCCCGATGGTTGTCCTGATGGTTGTGGTTGTCCCGATGGTTGTCCGACCTGATTTTATGATGCGCGGTGCTAAAATTCTTAAGAACCCAATGGTTTTTGGAGATTTCGGCGTGCGCGCGCAAAAAACGAATGTGTCCCGCATGGTATTATTTGACAGGGATGATGGCCCTGGCAGGTGCGCAACCGTTGTCGCAGAAGTTCGAAAAAGTTGCTCGCAAAAGCCCGTTTGACAGAAATGTTTAAAAAGTGTTGGGTTTCCTACGAATCCGCAAGAGCGCGCGGGATGAGATTTTGACATTTTTTTGTTGAAAAACCATTGGTTTTTTGATGTTTTTATGTTAAAATCGCTCCGAACACTAAGCTTTTGGAAGGATTTCGTCTTGCGCGCGCGAATGTCCACTTTACCTTATTTTTTGCAAGGGATTCTTGAAATTTGATTATATTAGAACAAGAAATGTCATTTTATAGTGTTTTTTGCAAGGGAAAACGGATTACAACAAAACAACCGGATCTGATCACATCGTTTTCTGAGGCTTCCTCACGAAAATGATGAAAATGTAGCTGCGGCCTAGGCGCGGCGGGGGGGCCGTGCACCAGGGGTCCCAACAATAATTATTCTTTAGAATTAATAATGTTCAACAACAACAACAACAACAACAACAACAACAACAACAACAACAACAACAACAACAACAACAACAACAATTACTAGCACGTGGGGACACTCCGTTCTCACCAGTGCCAGGGTTTTCATACGACGCCCGCCAATACCCCCACTTTGTGGGGGGGCCGGTTCAAGCTCTACCACATTTCCAAACGACTCTTCGCCACCACCCACACCCAGCTTCCCGCCCTATGACGTTCGGACACTTCACTTCGTGGCCTGCGGACGACCGTGGCTACTACACTGGCGCATGGGTACAGTGACTTGTTGTGGCAACATTTTCTGGACGCTAGCTTCGTATAACAACAACAACAACAACAACAACAACAACAACAACAACAACAACAACAACAACAACAACAGCAATCATCTTAAGACTGATCGCTCTTATATGCGCGCGCGTCACTCAATATGTAAATCCCAAACCCTCGATATCCACCCTCTTCGTCTTCGGTCATACCCCTTTGGGGGCATATCTTTTTTACTCGCCACGTGTAGTTGGCGCAGCCCCTAAAACAGGAAGAGCAGGGGGAAGGAGGAAGGGAGAGCGAGGAGGAAAAGAGTGGGGGGAGGGAGGGAGGAGGGAAGGGGCAAGGGGGGGAGGATGGATGGAGGACGAAAGAGGTTAGCAGGAGGGGAGGGGGGCAAAAGAGGAGGTAAACAAACGGACGAACCAGACAGACGGGTCGAGCGGCGGACTCTGAGGGGCGGGTCGGGCTGGCGGGGCGGGCGGACGCCAACGGACGGGTCGGGCGGCGGACCCTCGCTGGCGGGTCGGGCGGGCGGTGGCTTAAAGCGGGCGGGCGAGATGCCAAGAGAGCGAACGGGCGGGCTGTAACAGGCGGATCGGGCGGGCGAAACCTGGGGTCCGGAGTAATTTGCGAGGAAGTCCCAGGCGGGGGCGGGCTATTCGCATGGCGAGGAGGTCCCAGGCGGGGGCGGGGGTCCGGAGTAATTTGCGAGGAAGTCTCAAGCGGGAGCGCCTCCGCCTGAGTAAACTGCGAGGAAGTCCCAGGCGGGGGCGGGGGTCCTGAGTAAATTTGGAGGAAGTATCAGGCGGGAGCCGTTGTTGTTGTTGTCCGGGGGGCCAACAACGCAGTTTGATGCCCACGACTTTCCCTGATAAAAAACAGGGTGCGAGCCCCGGAAGGGGCACTTCAATTGAAAAAATACAATGTCCGCCAGAGGGGGGGGATCAACAATAATAATTATTCAGTAATTAGAGTTCAACAACAACAACAACAACAACAACAACAACAACAACAACAACAACAACAACAACAACAAGCACAACAACAAGCACAACAAGCACAACAAGCACAACAAACGCCTTCAACAACAACAACAACAACAACAACAACAACAACAACAACAACAACAACAACAACAACAACAACAACAAAAAAAAAAAACGGCGCAGGCGGAGAGCCTCTGCGAGGACAGCTACGCGGCGCGGCAGCGGGCGGCGGGCTGCCAGCGCCGACACCAGGCCCCCGCACAGCGGCCGCTCGCAAAGATTCCCAGGAGGCGGGGGCCCAGGGCGGCGCCACCCAGCCAGGGCAACCACGAACGATCGCAACCACTTCGGACCGACTGTCAACCACTTCGGACAGATCGCACACTGTTGCACTCGGT